CTTTGAAGCAGCAAACATAGAAATAGGTCCTTTCTGTCTGCCTACTGCTTTAAATGCTTCACTGTCCTACAGAGACAGGATTCTTTTAGCCAGTATGTTTAAGGTAATTATTTAACATATTTATTTGTTTAAGATATTGCTTATTTATTTATTTAATATATTAGTTCTCAAAAAACTAAGGTTATTTAGATAAATACCCTCCTAAACCACAGAAAGGACAATAAAGACACACAGAACAATTTAATAGTAGGTTGGATTTTCGGACTTCATGTCATCATTTACTTGTCTGTAAAGTGAATATAAAATATGTTTAAATTGTGCTAAAAGTAAAATGCATGTATGAGTATCTTGTACCTATCCACTAGATCAGAATCTTCAGCCAGGGAATGTTTCCATTGCCATATGATTATATGCAATAACCAACTCGTTGCAGTGTCAGTCTGCCTATGGCCATTTTTTAATGTCAGGCCTATATTCCAACATGGATTTTCAAATACGATAAACACCTTTCATACCATATTTTGACTTAATAAAGAAGTACAAGGAAATGGCTCTTGGGTTTTTTGAGCATTATGAAATCTCTGGGGACTGCACGTCTGCCAACAGTTCAATTCATTACGGTACAGCATTAAAATAAAGTATAAAATTCCGTAAATTCATCTCTTCCACAAAATAATAGCCTTGACCACATTTTCCTGATAAAACAGAAACCAGACCCAGATTTATTTATGTGGCTTAATGCATGCATAGCAAGATAAATATTTAATTACCAATTTGACATTGTTTATCAATTACGAGCAACACACTGTCTCTACTGCACAGCCCCGATTAGCTCTGTAAAACACAGAGCAGGAAGACAATAAAAAGGGGTTTACAGATATTGGCTCACCAGGCTCATGGAGCCTGTGCAGCTTGTTGAATCGCTATTTATTGATTAGTCTTATAATGCCTTTCTACCTAATTACAAATTCAGGATGGTCTCTGTGAATAAGCAATAGACAATGTCTGGTCTAAAAAAAGGAACTACCCAGTCACAGAAATGAACTGGGAATACCAGAAGCTCCATCTGTCCTGAGTAATTACACATCCACAAACTGTTTTGCATAATACAGTATTCTGCACATTCAAAAACACTGGAATAGTGAATAGAAATGTGATTTGTCCAGCAATTTTAAGGAATTTGTAGAAACTTATTGGTGGAAAGATTTGAATGATATAAGCTAGTTTTCCCCTTCTTGTCTGATTTCATAAAACCTCTGATTTTAGGGTTTCTACAATCTCCCTAAATAGTATGTGCCAGTGTTGATTATTGCTATGTTATGGGATAACAGAAGAAAAGGGGGGGAACAGAGTGCAAACTGGAAATGTGTTTTCATGTACAGTCCTACCCTGGAACGAGGAAAAAGGCGAGGGCAGCTTCATTTGTACAGCGATTATGGACATACTTAAATAATACTTTAAATCCTAAACTCATTTTTATGAGTGTGTGAGGTCAACTGTAGTACTTTATATAACTCAGATGATATTATATCTTAACGTGCACTTTATTGCAAATAATCTGAACTAAACCACTGATGTTTACACAGTATAGACTGTAGCAAAAAAGCAAAACATATACAGGTTATATGTTATTAACTGTACAGAATATTTACTCATTTTAATTAAATGTTCATAGGGCCAGAAGACTGAGATTTAACTTTTCCTAACTCTCCCTGTATTAATGGACAGTGGATCCCATTAGCTAAATCATTTCTTACTGCTTGATCTGTGACTTTTGAAGAAAGTGAGCCACATGTGAATGTTCAGTTTGGAGAGAAACAAGCTGGCGGTTCAGGATGATTCACTTGAGAGAAGAGAAACGGGCAGGGTGGTTTGTTATATTCCAGTTGATTTTGGGATTTGCTAACTGACCAGGGACAGAATTGCAACATCTGGCCCTTTCAGTTAATCTTATATTTCTGCAGCAAGCGAAGAGAAGCAGATCAATGCAGTCACTTCAGCAAGGCGGCCAGATCTTGTGAAGCCTGCGCTCTAACAATCGTTGTTCTTCTCAAATCTCAAACGTTCAGCTATGGCAGGACAGGAAGAGAGGTAATGAAGTTTGTAATGACCAAGTCTCTGCCATCCTTTCTGATTCTCTTCTCTGCTCCAGTCACCAAGCAAGCACAGCCCCAAGGACCAGGATGTGTTACTCACTGGAGACATGAAACAGGAGTTTATTCTGAAATGGAGTAAATGTAGATACGGAGTTTACTCCAGTTTCAAATGCCTTAACACTACTCCCAGGCTCCTTCTGTTCTGTAACTCTTCAATCTCATGTTCCCTAATTTCTCCTGCTTGTGTTCAGGTTTCTCTGGTTTCTGTTGTCATCTAAATTTAGTTTTGGGGAAGAGTTCTTTGACATGTAGTATAGTCCTCTTTCCAACATCTCATTAACCTTTCAGCTGTCTCCTGCCCTGTACCTCAGCTCCTGTCCCTCCCCAGGCATTGGCAGTGGTACGGTCATTAGTTTGTACCTAAATTCTATTATACACAGCGCTGCAATTAGTTGCATAAAGTCTCAAGACTTATTTTGTCTATATGGGCATTCAAATATTTAACTGCTGCACATAGGTTGCTAATGAATCTATAAACTTAGAATATTTATATTGTCTATTGTTTTGGGGATACTCTATTGAAAATGTGTGTTTTTAGGAGAGTAATAGATAGAGTATGGGTCTGGCTGAGGAATATTGGATTTAATGTTGTTTCTAGCATGCTAATGAGGCACCCAGGTAGGCAATGAATGCTCTAGGCTCTGCGAGCTCTAGCAAAAGGTTTGTAGGAGACAGACCATATTCATGACAGTCCCTGTTTTGCTGGTGGGGTTTTTTTTTCATCTTCTAATTATTTAGATAGTGCACCTTGATGAAAATCAAATCTAATTTTCTTGCATATCTGTGCTCATAAAAACAAGAGGAGCAAGGAGAATCAAACATAAGATGACTGCAGCAGCAGAAATTTAAATACAACCCATTTTTCCCAGGTTTTTATACTCAGCAGGTCTCTGAAAGCAGCTCAGCAAGCTGAGCAGCTTTCATGAGCATTTCTTCTTAGGAATCGAGTGATGACTGGGGTGAGTCTTTGCTGCTTTAAAGTGCGTGCCAGCTGCTAATTTCTCTCTCTTTTTTTAAAAGCAAATTAAAAGGGCTGGTGTGTGTCGTCATATTAAAAACTACTGATGCAACGTTATGGTAGTGCCCCAGGTGAACACTATGAGCTTAAGTGGCTGTCCCCTGAAAAACCAGGTTGTTGTTCGGGTATTTTTCCTGTTTGTGTAACCACACTGTATGTGTTTTACTGTGTATTTCCCAGTGTGCGCTTTCTTCACATTAGCAAAACATTAGAGAGTATTTTTGATTCACCGGTGCAAGGTGGCTGAATCAATGAAGCTGAAGCTTGTAGCATGGTAAGGTTTCATTACTTTCTATCTCTGGCCAAAAAAAAGGTTTATTGGAGAATGGATCAAGCAGAAAAGGAAAGAAAAAAGAGCAAATAAAAGAAACTGGAATTAAGGCTGAGATAAAGTTAATTTTCAACCTGGGCAGGATGAGACCTTAGCGTACACTGCTGCCTTTTGTGCCTTGCCTGTTGCAGGGGCGGTCTGAGGTGAGAGCCGTCGCTGTTTACGTTCTTGCTTTGAGAGCAATCCCACCATGTGGTGTGCAGTGGTGGTTATTAGCAGCTATGGCTCACGCACATGCTGTTCTCTTGTCCTCTTTTGCACCTTTAATTTTCTTTTCCTGGGAAAACGAGGAAGGTCAAATGCTGTCTTGAATAGCCAACTAAATGTCTCTCTCAGCTAAAATGGCAGAAGTTGCCATAAGGGAAATTTGGCTACAGCTGGGAGGCTTCATCCCATTTTTGCCCTGCTCATAGGACTAAATACGTCCTTGGTGCTTGATGTCCAGTGGTTCAGGAGCTGGAACGTGAATTAAATCTCAACCTCGACCTCTTTGCACCCCAGTGTAACACACAGCAGGCTCCTCTCAACCCTAGCATCCCTCAGAATGTACCAGCAATGCTGACCTTTTAGAAAGAAAATGGATGGGGATATTTCTGAAGTCAGATTTAACACAGATGTCTGACTTTAAATCAATATACTTGCCAGAACAATAAAACAAGGTAAAAGCCAAAAGCAACCTGAAAAGAAAACGTGCTTTCATTTCACTGTTCTTTTTGAAAATGAGAAATCAAAGACAAGGGATATCATGCACATAACAGAATATTAATATGCAATGCCTCTTTACATCCTTGCTATATTCACTGATTTTCTTTCCACTGAGAAATAAAGCAATACGTGTGTCTAGAAGAATGTATTTTCCTGCTTAGTAGGGTTAAAAGGGCTATTTTTATTAAACGCTGAGTACTTCCTCATGTATCATTTTAAACTCCATTACTTGTTTCCAAGGAGATAGAAATATGCAGGAAAATAATCTGAGACTGATTTGTAAGGCTGTTCTCATTAAAGACACTTGAATGGGCCCTGTTGTAAGGAACAAAATAAACTTGGAGCTTCTGTAGTAAAGAGGTTGAGACTTTGAATTTCGTTTCTGTTCAGGCTTACTTTCTGCTTCTGGAAGTTGGAAGAGGATTGTGAGATATTTAAATCAGTATCAGATATTCATTTAGTGGCTCAGCTGTGCTGTTTCCTACAGTGAAGCAGGCTGGGAAGGTATAAAATAAATAACCCACCCGCCCTTTGCAGTAGCGAGTTTCTCCTGACACGTCTAGATGTTTCTTGGAGAACAAGAATGGGCACTAAGGAACAACTTATTTCTCTTCCTGCAAGCTGTTCTTCAGAAAGACTAAAGCCTGCATGGCTCCATAGGTGTCTAAAACCCTGTAATTGCTCAGTGAAATGTTAATGCGAAGTTCTAAACAGAGATAATTTTCTTTTTTTTTTTCTTTCTGTTAATAAATCCTCAATGAATCTGAAGCAAACAAAGCAGTTGTCTTACCTGAAGTAGTCTTCACCACCTCAGTTGTGTTTCTTAGTCCTGTGAAGGAGAACTGGTAAAGCCTCCAGGACCTGGTGTCCCCCACCTCCACCGAGCTGCGCTTCCACTGGTAAATGATCTCTTCTCTTGGGTAGCCATCTTATTGCAATGGAAAACACAGAATGCTTTGTTTCATAGTAATTGCTAGGGTTTTAGTGTGCTTTGGGGAGTAAAACTACTGTTTTCTATTTCTGGAGATATCTGGAGAAGCATATTGCTAGTAAATTATAGATATGTTTCTCTCAAGTTACTCAGTAGTGCCTTTTACTTCATGTCACTTTTTATTTTATTTATTATAAATTAAAATAGCACTTGTGATAAATTTTTCAAAAATGAGTTTTCCACTTTTGTGGACCCAATAGGATGCAGTTTTGCCCATCCTTCAATTATGGCTTTAAAGTCTGCAGCTGGACCAGGAATTCACACTTTGACCTGACTGCAAAGTGCCAGACCCTTGACTCCAGCTATTGCAAGAATAAATTCACACATAATTTCTCTCTCGCAGAAAGAAAGTATCAGGCCAGGAGACTTTGATGCTCAAAGTAAAAATTTCTATGTTATGCTAAGATAGAAGCAAAAATTAATCACACAGGTACCAGAAATTGTATCATTTTTACATAGCTTTCCTCAATACTTGTGAATATCTATGATTCATGTTCTTGAAAAGAAGGTAAAAATAAAACTGAAAACCATTGGCCTATGTCTAGTTAAGAACAGAAACTTCACTGACTCTATGTATGTAAATATAAATTGATAAGAAGTGGTTCGGTGTGGGTCAGATAAGGGATATTTCTAAGTGTTACTTACAGCTTGAAAATTCCAGGGGGCAGGAATGGACGTCCATTGGGAAGTTGTGTAACTGGAGCTGACATTCGGCATCAATTGTCAGCCTGGGGAGAAAGAGATCAGGATCTACAGAATGCACTTAAAAGATTGTCCTGAAAGCTACATCATGACAAGCAAAAAGAGATTCTTACTAATAAGGAACCTGACTATGAAATATGCACATATATATTTTATATGGAGAAAGCAAAAGTAAACTATTGCTAGGTATGTACAAATTTGGATACTCCAAGCATAGGAAGACATCATGGTTAATGATAAGCAGTGTTTCTTTTTTGGCTCCATAGACCCTGGCCATCTACTTTCTGGACTGTGTAATAGAGTAAGGTATTAAAGTTCTGTTTCTATGCCACTGAAATGACAGCATTACTCATGGCAAATCCATACGTAGATACACAGGTCATCTCATGAGCAGTGACAAATCTCCGTGTCACAACATGCCATGATGCACTAGGGAAATAGGGTTTTTTGTGAAAAATATTCTATTTCAGAAATGGTGGATGGAGTCCAAATTTAGAGATCTGCATCCAAGACAACCTGCATAGCTAGAGCAGGGGCAGTGATTGAGAAAATCAATGAGTTCTTCTGGATCCCTCTTCTCTTCAGGCCAGAATCCCAGATCTGATGCCCATTATCACATTGCATTTCTGGATTAATCCAAATTGAAACTCACCGGTCCTTGCTGTGACTCTAACTCAGTGTCCATTCATAACAGATAACTGTTTCTGCCAGATATATCTCTTTCTAATGAGAGAAACTGAGGAGTTCGAGGAGAAAGGTAATGAAATCCAAAGAGACAGTAGTGTAGCTAAGTTCAAATTTAACATTTCAAAAGTGGACCTAGGATCTTCTTCATCAGACTGACTTTGATTTGCACTGGATTTCAATTCCAATCATTCTCTTGTCTCTTCTGGCAATGCAGTGTCTACTGAATGTAAAATAATGATGAAATAGAAGTCCTTTTTGTAATTCAGACAGTTGTGACATTCAAAGGTTGTCTTAACCAAAGCTTCACATCCACTCATTAAAATTATAATGAGTGTACTTTTCTTCAAAACTTGATTTTTTTTGGCACCCAGTAAAACAAAACCAGAAAAAACACTTCAAAAAAACCTCAGTCTAAAACTCAGGTGGTCTCATTCGAACATCTTTGATTCTGTAGTTTCATTTTAAAATATAAATGCTCTCTTTATCTACATTTTACATGGAACCAAATATTAGATCGTATGTCAGAACAAGTAAAAAAAATATGCATTTAGGATTTTCACATTTAGGAAGTATCTTATGGCGATTGGGAATATGATATTTGAGTTGTTACATACTGCATATGTTTCACTTCAATGTAGGCATATGCATTATTGAAAAGAGCGTTTTTAAAGGGAATCTGTCTCAAAAGAAAAGCTGTACGTGCGACTAAGAAATCTGGAGATGAGCATACAAAGATCAGATCCATGGAAATTTTAGTGGAACGGGGCATACCTATAAATTTTGGATTAAACCCTAAATGACCAACACTAAAATGATGATCCCTTATTTTCATCAATTATTGGAGGAATGAAATGCTTTTGCAGAGTGGATCTCCATCTAGCTAAATTGTACCACGGAAATTTTAGTGGAACGGGGCATACCTGTAAATTTTGGATTAAACCCTAAATGACCAGCACTAAAATGATGATCCTTATTTTCATCAATTATTGGAGGAATGAAATGCTTTTGCAGAGTGGATCTCCATCTAGCTAAATTGTAATTAATTCAGAATAAGAGGCCTTTGATATATATGATGCCTTCTCTTATACCATCTGCTTAATTCAAGGATATTTTGAATTCAGCAGTTTGACCCAATAGAAAAGTGCAAGGCAATATGGACCAAACCAGTGGCAAACAATAAAACATACCTGAAAATGAAGCTGAATTACTATAACAATGTTTATATTCATTTTAGTATAGGTATGTGACTATTGTGGAGCAAGACAGTACAATCTGTGGGAAGAGATAAAATTCTTCACTGTGCCAATATAAAATAAATTGAATGCATGTAGTAGCTTCTAAATATTTCCCTTTTTCAGGGTTGTATGCATAGGTAAATAGGAAAACCCAACGTTTTTTTCCTTCAGGTAATTTCAGATGGCTTGAATTCACAGGCCATTTCTCTCTGGCTTTCCCTAAAGAAACTGAAATCAAAGTCGGGTATAAATACCTCAGTGTGTACAGCACTCTGCCATCATTCCAGATCCTGAGCATCCTATTGGGCGTCGTTATCCAGTGTGCATCAGCTTTCTTGGAATTTCGGAAGAATGTGTCTGGTATCCAGATCTTCCCAACCATGTTGCTGTTTAATCTGAGCACCTTTATAGTGCTGTTGAACTTCAGACGTCTGTCATACCACGTTTGGGCGAAAAATATATCAATTGTATATTCCTGTTGTGTTAACCAGAAATACTGATGAAAACATAGCACTCAGCATAGATCCTGAAATGCTTTCCTTAATTTCGTATGAAAAACAAATGAAATGCAGAAGATGATACTACAACTGATAAAACCAATATGTTGTTAATTTTTGAGGGCAAAGTTTACCAAAGATTATTGTTTAAAAACAATTTATTCTGTCGTTTTCCCAGTGACAGGTGAAACTAAGATGCAATTGAGTGGTCCCCACACCTCAACCCGTGCCTGATCAGGTTAGAGACAAATTACTTATTCGCTTGGATCGAAGACAGGAAACATTTGAGCCGACTTGGCTGCCTTCATTGCCTGTGCCCATCAGTTAATATCAGAAGTGGTGAATTCTCCCTTTCCCTGGCACAACTGGGCAGCCAGAAGCTTCAAAGGGAATTGGAGAATGGAAAAGAGCAATCTGAGATATTTTTCTACACATGAGAGCTACAAAGATGAAGTAGATGTTGTGCTAAGGCTAGACCACTTTCCATCACCTCTACAAAGATATAATTAAATTTTTCTGTGGGAACTTTGGAAAGAGGAGAAGAGAGAGGATCTGGTCTTTTTTCCTTTTATCTCTTTATATTTTCTTTTTATTTTTTTATAAGAGTCATAATATCACTGGTGAATGGTTTTCTTTATTTTGTAGCAATCTGGAAGCCCGGTTTTACAGGGGTTACAGTGCCACAAAGCACTTGGAAAGTGTGAGGATATGATAAAACTATTATTAATAATCTTTTTTCAGCATAGAGCTCAGTTTCCCCATCTTGTAGAGATTCACGAGTCATATGGTCCTCACATCCGTAATAATAATGACATTGTAAAAATAATATAGCTGTAGCACAACATGGAAAGTAATGGAAGGTTTGTAATGTCAAAAATGAGGGAGGCTTTGTAATAAAGTCAACAACTTAGGAAAATTGGCAGTCATTTACCTACCATATTGATAGCATTCACTGGCCCAATGCTATTTACATACATGTCAGTGTGAATTATAGTCGGTTTAACTGAAAGAGAAACAAGAAGAATTGGTAACATGAGGGAAGGTCAAAAGCAGCGACGTGAAAGTCAAACACAAGCAAAAGATTATTATAGTGCCTCTCATAAGTCTATGGTTGCTTTGCATTTAAAGATGCATGGACCATGACATCGCAGTGTTGTTTCCAGTTTGAAATCAGTTGGACACAATTTGGGACCAATTTCTTATATTGTTTATTCCTTCAGAACAAATTCACTTATGCTCTGAGAACAAATACTGAAACCAGGGTTGTTACCTTAAAGTGAGTCATATCTGACTGAGAGTGCTTATATCTCATGTCGGGGCACAGCAACACATCTGACAAAACAGTATAAACAAAAGCGAGCTTATTCTTCTCATGATGCCTTGCACCACTCGTTTTACATTGTAATGCCAAATGCAACATGACTGCTGCTGCCTGCAGAGATGGCTGTAGGTAAGTACCAATTTCACAAGCATAAAGCAAAAATAATACTCAAGGCTCTAAAACAGGAATGAAAAACACTCGTTATATTAATTTAGTTTGCAATTACTCTGTTGTAGCTTTATTTTTCTTATACACCTTGACTAAATCATGATGGTTTGTTCCCCGAATGCTTTTATGAATGCTTGTTTCCTTTCTGTTCTCTAAACTCTTGGATTGGGAGAATAAGAAATTCCTCTGCTAATTTACACTATATACATACACTGAAGGTTAAATACCCATGTTATCCCTCGCTGTGAAAAATTCCTTAGTTTCTAAGCCTCTATAAACTTGTTAGAAACAGCTTCCTTCATTAACCTTGCTGCTCTCTGCTTTCCTCTGCCTGCCTCATCCATGAATTCTCCGTATTTCTCTATAATCTTATTACTGCTGCATGCTCTTCCACAGAGGCAGCGTCTGCCTCTTCTGGGCATGCGTGGGGCCTTCTCAAACTGACTTGCAGCAACACAGGGAAATTTATGGCTTTGAACTCCCTCAGTAATCAGTGGAGTGGAAGACTCCTGCAAAAGGGGATTCGGTCAAATAGGACTTCCATAATGAGTCCAAGCTTGGGTCTATGTATTTATATTGGCTGAATGGGGAGGAATCCAGGGACGTTGGCCTTGCTGACTGCAGGTTTCTTTTGTGAACCTCTTCTGTGCTTCCTTCCCTTCCCATTCCCATTCACTGCTTGCCCAACTGGGCAAGTGAAGGCCCATGGTGCATCAGTCAGTGCAGAGCTGCTGCTGTAAATGGCTCTGTCTCTGTCCATCGCACCATGCAAGGATTACACTGCGTTATTCTCATTTTGGCCTTCCTTTCCACTAGATTATTTGTGATTCTCTAATATCCTCACTTAGATATACAAAGGAGATAAAAACTTGCTTCTTCATTGCATTATTTCAAGCAGCCTGATTCAACGAATCACAACAGTCTTATTAGATATCTCGGGATAGATTTGGCAATCTTAATTTCTGTCAGCTTTCAAAATCATAATTATTTTTGTGCCACTGATGGTTTACTACGCTATATTTTCTTTTTGTAAGTACTTTGAATGGATGCTGCTTCCTGCATGGCATAACATGGTATGAAAATACTTTCTCTTCACTGCTTAATCAAAAGTGGTCTGAGGAGAAAACCAACATACCTCCTATGTCAGGTCTTAACTTGTTGTCATATCCTTCCAGCAAACCATTTAAAATAAGAGTGACATCGCTCTCATGGACTTTGGGAGTCAAAACCCAAGTCTTATTTGAAGTGTAATCTTCATAATCATCGTCTCCCTTTTGGGTGGAACTGTTAAAGAAATAAAAATGGAGAAATGAAAGCCCTGAAAAATACAAATCCGTGGGTAACCTCTTTGGAGATGTTAGACATAGAATTCATTTTCTAATACTACTGCACAAAACATGGACAAATTTTCAGCTTTATGAAAAGGCACTCATAGATTTCATGTAACAGTTGAGGTTACAGTTCACTTTAGCAGCATTTCCTTTTAGTTCAGCTGAGATCATATTCTGCCTGTTCGAAGGAACATCAATGCTTATCACCATTGGCACACCTATTTTTTCCTCTCACTGACTCAGGTGGGACCTGTTACGAAACAAATCTCATTGTCACTTAGCTTACGCAACTCTCCACCAAAATACCACTTAGTATGTACACAGTGTTGGTGCATTACTTCTCTTTGAGAGGATGGTTTGATGCAACGCATTACTGACAAGACCAATACAATCAAATTCATTCAAACAAACTGTCACACAGCTTTTCTCCACTCTGATGAACTTGAGCTCTTTGTGCATTTGGAAAGTTCAGCACAAATTTTTGCCGATGTTTTTCATTTTCACTGTTGCTAACCGGAACCCAGAGAAGATAAAAGGTCTGTCTACCATTTTTTTTCGGCTGCTGAGCAGTCTGACAGCAAATCTAGTGTAGTTCAACCTGCTTAACACAGCGAAAAGGAGTCAAAAAGGTATAGACTAGCCTTAACGGATTGTTTTCTTAAAATCTGTGCCTCCAGTTCTAGAGGAGGACATAGAAAATATGACATAATCAGATATTTTCATTTCAGAATGTCAGTGGTAATCAGCTGAATGGAGCTCAGCAACTGTAAGTTTTTTGCATAATATGCCAGTGAGCTTTTTTCCTGGCCTTCATCTGCAGCGAAGTTTGAACGCTGCTGGGTATGAGAAATCTTAATGATGCTACCAGTGTCTCAAGGCAGTGGGTGGAGTTTGGATATGAATGGATGAAAAGGAGAAAATTTAATTTCCCTGTTTCAGACAGAATCTGTACAGAAGTGGGAAAGAGCCCAGGGAGAAGATCTCCTCCCCCTGTGCTCTGCCCATGTGCTGCTCTGCAATCTTGTGTCCAGTGCTGGGCCCTCAGCTCCAGAAGGACAGGAACTGCTTGAAAGAGTCCAGCAGGGCCACAGAGATGCTGGAGGGAGTGGAGCATCTCCTGCTGAGGAGCGGCTGAGGGAGCTGGGGCTCTTGAGCTTGGAGCAGAGGAGCCTGAGGGGTGCCCTCATTCCTGGGGATCCATTTGGAAAGGGCAGTGTCAGGAGGAAGGAGCCAGGCTCTGCTCTGGGATGGCCAATGCCAGGACAAGGGGCAATGGGAGCTAGGCACACAAATTGAAAGCAGATGCAGCTGATCGTGGTCATGGGTGCAGTAGGGAAGGGAGGACTAAGCCCAGGGTCTGAGAGCTGTTCTGTTAGCACAGATCTTTGTTCAGCTGAGGTCTCATCCACTCTAAAAATCCAGTGCTATCTTGCTGCATCCTACTGACACCAACCCAGAGTGGCTGCCTGAAGGCTTGCCCGTGTTGGCATTTGGGAGCTGTAAGCCAGCTGCACAAGTACAACTTAACTACAAAAGCTGCTTTAGTTTCTTTCTGCCTCACGGGAGCAGCTTAGCAGGAAAGAACCACAGCACATCTATGCCTCTCTGTAGGAGACTCTGCTTCCCAAGAGGTGCTGAAGGTACAGTGAAATTTGGAATTGTTAGTCAAGCTGGGTTAATCTCTGCCTTCATTACGTGAACTGAGTGCCACCAACTGCAGCCTCCAGGCACCACCAAACCCACCCTGTGCCAGTGATGTGCGTCTAGGAGCATCATTTTCCCAGATCAAGAACAGGTAACCCAACCTCCTCACTCTGGCTGCACAGGCCTGAACCTGCAGTGTTTTACCGTCAATCAAAAGTGGAGTTTTAACTGGCAATATGGTCCATAGTGCTCATATGCTGGTAGTGACAAACAGGCCAGGATAATGAAATTGGTGGGGGAAATGTGTTTATTCAGCTGTCTGGAGTTCAAAGATCTAATTGTAATTCAAAGAAACAGAACTGAAGCAAGGTTCTCCCTTCTGGAGGAAGGGAAATCCTTCTAAATAAAGTCTTTGTAAACAGAAGGCACTAGATTACATGTCTGTACTCTGTGCAAAGTGAATGAAAAAAAATAACTTCATATATAAAAAGCCATATTCCTGTTTTATAACCAATTAAGCATCCATACTCCAAAAGGAATAGTTTTTCTGAGTGTAAAAGAAGTTGTAAACCAACTAATACATTCTTATACAAAGGCAATGTGTACCTTAATATTGATGTGATGAGAGAGCTTCAAAAGTCAAGCAGGTCTTTAGTAGAGTCGTGTACTGGACAGTGCAAGGTTGGAAGATGAAAAAGTATGTATGTCTAGGGCTTGTCTCAAATCTAGAACAACCCTTTTGAACAGTAGCCCACAGTCACGGAATCTTCCATTTCCTCTTAGTAGTTATTTGTAGGAAAGAAATATCTGTTTGTTTGCTCATCTGCCATTTCAAGCCACTTTGGCACTCCAGATCTCAAAACCCAGCAAATCCTCTATCAGGTTTGTGTGAGAGAGGAGAGGGAACACAGCCAATGTCACTATGGGGAATGGCCACTGAATTGTAGTTTTTTGCTGAATTCCAAGTGGATCAGAGGTTACCATGAGGATCCAATTGCTTGAATGTCTGTGGAAAAGCGCGTACCAGCCAGGACAATCCGAGGTGCATCTCTATCCAGATGAGCAGGGCTTTAGCTGTGCAATGCCATTAATACTAATGAAAGTTATAATGACAAAGCCCTTTTCATCTCCTTAAGACTTTCAGATCAGACCTTCTGATTATATGACCTAAATTTTGCAAGTGCTTTTAATATCCAGAACAAATTTGATAAAGCACAGATTATACCCAAATGCATATTAAAATCCTTCTTTTTATTACCGCTAGAAGTTTTCAAATCTAGTAAAGTAGGTATGCAAAGAAACACCCATTTACCTCTTTGCAGATTGCAGTATAATTTTTTGAAAGTTAATGTTTTAGACCCTGGTACAAAATCTCAATGTTGGAGATATTCCCACTTCTGACAATAATGCCATTGCAAGATATGCGCAAGACTGGTCTGTAGAAATCTGCTTTCCCTGTTTGGAAAAGAGATGGCTTAGATT